TGCATGTTTTTGTGTCAAACTTAATGGGGTTTTTTCGAGAGCTTTTCTTCTTTCACGAGGTTTGCGACAGGGTGATCCACTGAGCCCTTACCTATTTCTTTTCTGTGCTGAGGGCTTCTCTGCCTTATTGAAGAAAGCTTAGGAGGACCGGATCATTAAAGGGGTGACTTTTGGGAGCACTGGCCCCCATGTCACACATCTTCTTTTTGCGGATGATAGCATTGTCTTTTTGGAAGGCTCACGAGATAACATGGCTGCTCTCAAGGAGATCCTTCGAAAATATGAGCGTGCTTCGGGGCAGAAGGTGAATCTGCAGAAATCTTCTATCTTCTTTGGGAGGGGGTGTCAGAATGATGTGAAAGACCAGTTGAAAACTGATATTGGCATCCAATCCGAGGCACTTAGTGAGAGATATATCGGTCTTCCTACCCAAGTGGGAAGATCGAAGGATGGTGCTTTCAGATATGTGATGGAGAGTGCCAAGGGAAAGGTTACTGGATGGAAGGGACAGGGTTTGTCAAACAAGGCTAGGGAAGTGTTGGTTAAATCCGGACTCCAAGCTACCCCTACGCTCACCATGAGTTGTTTCCACCTCACAAAGAAAATATGCTGGAATCTGATTCCTATCTCCTCAAAATTCTGGTGGGGTGCGAGGAATGGTGAGATGAAGGTGCATTGGATTGCGTGGGACAAAATGTGTACCTCCAAGCGTGAGGGTGGTCCGGGGTTCCGACAACCCGAAGCTTTCAACCAAGCTCTGTTAGCAAAACAAGCGTGGCGTCTCCTCACGGTGCCCAATTCTTTGGTCGCGAGGGTGCTGAAGGCTCGTTACTTCAAGGACTGTTCTATTTTGTCCGCTACTTGCCCGGCCAACGCTTCCTTCATGTTCAGAAGCTTGTTGCATAGAAGGGACTTGCTGAGGGAAGGGCTGGTTTGGCGAGTAGGGGATGGATCGATCGTCTATTAAAATCCACCATGACAACTGGATCCCGCGGTCTGGTTGCTTGAGACTACTGGGGCAAGCGTTCCTCCCGGGCACGACTAAGGTGGCTCACCTGCTCTTAGATCAGGCAAATGGATGGGATGAGGCCAAAGTTGCGGCCATGTTCTCGCCTTCGGATGTCCAGGATATTCTGCAGATCGCTGTTGGAGGAGTGGGGGTGGAGGACTACCAAGCCTGGTACTACACTAAGAATGGAATTTTCAATGTTAAGTCTGCCTATCACTTGGCCATGTCGAGGAAACTTGAGAGAGCTGGACAGCCAGGCTCGTCGAGCTCAGTGCAGCGACATAAAGGTTACCTTGGCATTTGGAGTACTAATGCTCTGAGGAAAGCTAAAATCCACATGTGGCGACTTGTTCGTAATGGTCTGGCAGTGGGGTCTGAACTACATAGACGCTGGATCAAACCGGGTGTTTTCTGTGTGGCATGCGGCAGGGAAGAAACCATCTATCACAGGTTCTGGGCATGTCAACATTCGTCATTGTTCTGGCAGAAGCTGCATTCAGAGAAGGGCGTCAAGATGGCACTCCCGCCGTTTCCTATGGACTCCCAGAATGCGCTTGCAAACTGGCTCCTTGGATGGTTTGCGGAGGCGGCTGATGAGGAAAAACAAGTGATGATTCAAGCAGTGTATGGCCTCTGGGTAGCTCGTAATGACGCGCGGGATGGGAAGAAGATGGCATCCCCACATGAAATCATGGAGTCTATCTACTCCCACTTGATCGAGTGGAGACAAGTTCACGACGCCGCAGCGAGGGTGCCGCAGGCCAGAACCGTGCAGCGATGGAAGCCTCCGTCTCAGGGGTGGGTGAAGGTCAACTCTGATGGTGCCGTCGTTGGGAATGGGGAGAAGGGGGCGCCGGAGTGGTTATTCGTGATGCTGGGGTGCTTTTCTTGCAGGTGCCCGTCAGTTCTTCAATCGCTCGGTTGACCCGGAGGCTGTGGAAATCCTCGCCTGCAAAAGTGGTTTACTCCTTGCTATTGAGAGAGGATTTCAAAGTGTCCATCTGGAGCTGGACAGCCTGCCTGTTGTGCAAATGCTAAATGATCGTCATAAGTGCATGGCAGCTGTTGGTTCGTGGATTGAGGAGATTAAGGAGCGGTTGCATACTCGGGCTGAGTATCGCGTGACTTGGGTTCGTCGTACTGCCAATGTTGCTGCTCACAAGTTAGCTAAAGTAGGTGTAGGTGATGAGTTGTGTAAGGTGTGGTTGGGGTCTCCCCCAGACTTTGTTCTCTCTGTAATTTCTGATGACATTCCCAGCTATGCTGGCTAAATAAGAAGCATCAATGTTGACCCTAAAAAACCGGAAATCCCTCGAGCGTGCACGGCATACACACGCCACATCCGACAGCAGGTTGACCCAAATCGGGATGTCCTCCATAAAAACCAGCCTCGATTCACCAGGGACCTTGAATTCGTGGGAGCTTAGTAACTGTACTGATGTGGGCCAAAAAATCATGTATAAAAAACATATCTAAAGCGGGTCTTTGTGGGTCACCGTCTAAAAACCCTAGGGCAGCAATTATAGTCTTGAGGATGTAGGATTTTCAAGGCGGGTGGAACAAAAGGCCTATGATAGAAGTAATCTCAGGATAGCCATGAGGCAGACCGTATCACATATTTGGTCTATTCGAGGGGATAGTCCATTTGGGTACGTCTTGTAAAGTAATACGGGGGAGACTAAGAAAAAACAACATACTCTTGACAAATCTTCACCTGCAAGGCTGGGATTTTACCAGTCACGTATTTAGGTATACCCATTGATAAAAAATGATAAGAAATAGGGACTGGAAGAACATTGAGTGGACCACGAAGTAGGGTATTTGGAGGGGAAGTTCTTTTCTATATGAAGGAGAACATTTACCAGTCACGTATCCAGATTTCACAAGAGAACCAAGCACATCAAGAGACGCTTCAATTCCATCCGGGATCTAGTCCAGGTGGGAGACATAGAGATTTGCAAGATACATATGGATCTGAATGTTGCAGACCCATTGATTAAGCCTCTTCCACGAGCAAAACATGATCAGCACCAAGGCTCCATGGGTGTTAGAATCATTACAGTGTAATCTAGATTATTGACTCTAGTGCAAGTGGGAGACTGAAGGAAATATGCCCTAGAGGCAATAATAAAGTTATTATTTATTTCCTTATAATCATGATAAATGTTTATTATTCATGCTAGAATTGTATTAACCGGAAACATAATACATGTGTGAATACATAGACAAACAAAGTGTCACCAGTATGCCTCTACTT